AGGCTGTCACCCTGGCCAAAATTCAGCTCCTCAGGCATCCAAACTGAAGGCTGACAGTTACGTGTTACATTTGTGATCAGAAAATATATGGAGCATTTTTGTCTTCAAAAATGAAGGCATGGAAAAGGGCTGAAAGCCTGTTTGCTGACAGAGCAGAAGAGACGTCTAACACATTAGCCTCTGTCACTTTGGTGTGTGGCCCCTCACACTTTTTGTGCCCCCCAGTCAGGAGCTGCTGTGTAGCATGCAATGGCCATTTTTCCACCTTCCTCACCACAGCTGGCGTGTGGTCAGCCCTCTCTTTGGCTGGGACAAACTAAGGATAAAGGTGAAGTACTGGGCATTGACGGCTTCCCTCTCTCCTCCCATAGACGTACAAGTAGCACTCAAGACAACTCCACAGCTGAGACACATGGAGCAGCCTAGCTGCCAAGTCCTACCTCCAAAGGGACATAGCTCACTTCCACAGTCCCTTGCCCTCTCTGTGCCTACATGTGCTTCTTGCTCTCAGTACAAGTAGGTGACTGCACACCACCATCCTGTCCCCATGGAGCCTGGGCTGGGCTGTGGTGGATGCATTTTCGAAGCAGAAGAAACGCCGGTACTCTTGCAACCAGACGCTCTGAGCCCAAAGTACATGAGACAAGCCATTTATCCAGGGTCTGTGAGACAACAAGAGAAGAAAGCTTACCTGGTTGGTCATAGGATGCCCATGCTAGGTTTTCTCCACATTTTCCATTAGCAGACTCGGAGCTGTGTTTGAGGACCCTTGTGGTAGCCAATTCTTCTGCATACCTAGCAAAGGAATCCACACATTGAGTCACAGACCACCGCCACAGTGAGCAGAGAGGAGGAAGAGCAGGAGGAAGCGGAGGAGAGGCAAGCAAGGAATTTTACTGGAAGATGATGGTTTAAGCCAAGTTACTCAGCTACTGGAGCCAGGGATGCTTAGGAGTTAGGCAAAGGGAAGGCCTAGAGGCCATTTTCATTGTCTTTCATGAGCACCTGTGTCACTGCTGGGAAGGGCCTAGAAGAAATCGAAAGGCAGATCTAACCCCACCATGTTCTGCCCAGCAGCTGGAAATCCACCGGCCATCCTTGGCTGCAGCTGCTGGGTGAAAGGGAAGTACCTGCAGCAGTTGCTACCGGGGTCACCTCCCGACATTTCTAGGCCGCTCACGGGGGTAACTTAAATGTTCTCGAAGAGATGGAAAAAAGCCTGAAGTGGGGATTCAGTCAAAGCAAGTGTAAAAAACCCTACATTTGCAAATGAAAAAAAGTCAAATGCAAAACAAGAGCAGTGTGTCATGCAACAGTACGGAGGAGAAGGGGACCACACAGAGAATCTGATGCAACAACTGTGTATACCAACACAGGGATGAGCAGCACTGTTTCTATAGAAGTTAACGTGTATAAGAGCATGGGACGTATTCTATTGTCTTATGACAATAGGGTTAAGAAGAACATCATGTGTAAAACAATTATTCTCTTTATTCAACATTGGAAGGGCTTCAGTTCAGAGACAGTGAAATTGGAAAGCCTATTTGGTATTTCTTATGGCAGGAGAAATAGGAGGCAACACACAAAATCTTCTGGTCATAGATTTAAAAGTCAAGTAAGACAAAGCACTTTTTCCACACTGTGCAGCAGAAGTCATTGCCACAGGACAATGCAGACACCAAGGCACATGTGGGTTTGAAAAAGAGCTAGACGAATTTACAGTGTGTTTGTGTGTGTAATCTTCAGGAGTTACTGGAAAAGACCTTGAAGGTCATTGAGTCCAACCAACCTCAACAATTCTATGATTCTATTAAACAAGAGTAACAAAAAAATGAGGATACAACCTACTGCTTAGGAAAAACATAATTTCCAGGAGAAATCTGTAATTTCTGAGAGAAAATAATGGGGGAGGGATCACCACATTTGTTTTGCCCTGCTACTCCTTCCCTAACCATGAATTACTGGTATCTGCCAGAGACAGGAAATTTGTCCAGCTGAACATTTTGGCCCAGGCTAGTAGTTCAGGCATTAGGTTCTCGTTTCCTTGTGTACTAATCCTTCCACCAAAACAACAACAACGAAAAGTATTTAGCTACCTCCATTAATTTAGAAAAAATGAAAACTTGTCAGTTGTCAGTCTGCTAGATCCTGAGCTTGAGGATCTCTAGATGCTCCTTCATGCCTTCTATCACTACAGTAATTTTTCTCTTCAGGGATTCCCACATCCCAAGCAGGAGGCACGACTGGAACAAAGAACACACTGCGCACAAAGCTGCCAAGGATTTGAGACAAAGGGTGATTAATTGACTCTAAGTCAGGCAGCTGAAAGCATGAGATTTGCATCTGAGATCATCACCCTCTGCTTCATTACAGTCAGAGATAAACAGACACCTGCTAAGGGTGACTCATCTCTACACCAAAGCAGGGATCCAGCAGTCAGTTCATCTAGCCTGTCACAATTACTGGAACCGAATATAGTAGGAAACAGACAAATTTTCAACACAGATAGAGAAGCACAGAAAAGTACCCAGAGATACACCGAATACATACTAACAAAGATGTCAGATATACTTAAAGAAAAGATGATTTTTTTCTTTGAATTTAAGATTATGCAAAAATCTGTCCTGACAAATATGAGATTTCTTATATTTAAAGTCTTTTATTCAGATCAAACCATTTCTGGTTCTTGCTATCAATCAGTTTCACCAGTCTCTGAACATGTGTCATTCTTACAACTTGTCATTTTTACAAGTTACAGATCACAACCAAACAAAGGTTTCCTATTGTTATTCATCACAGTGAGTAAAGTCAACTGAGAGCAGAGAGGACTGTGAGGAATTCCAGAAGGATCTAAAAATACCCAGCAAGGGCAATAGCACACTTAGAGATAAATGTGGAGCGATGCATATTTGACAGAACAATCTGAACTATTTGTACAAGCTGACTTGTTCAAACCAACTGTAGCACTCTGGAGACACAACAAGTGTTATCGAAAAGTCAATGAAATTTCTCCTCGTTGTGAGGCATCGTGTAAAACAGAAACAAGCCAACCATTTGAAGAACAGAAGGAAAACCCCAGCAGATTACAAAGGTATGTGGATGAGTCACTGGCATTCCATCTCTTAGAAATACTGTATCTAGTTACCATGGTGTCACAAGAAAAAAAAAGAAAAATTAAAGAATAAAGACAGAATCAGATTTTCCCTGCTGCTAGAGGGCCTGTCCACATGCAACGTACATGGTGCATTTTACAGCGCAACACCTGGCAGACATCTCTGGTGTGTCTAGGAGTGCCGGAGCTGGTGCGTATGTGTGATGGGCCAGCGCCATGCTGGGACTGTAACTCAGGTTCTGGAAAGGCTACGGCCTCTCTGGCTCCCAGCCAGCCAGCGTGGAGAAGTCTGCATGGTTATGGTAGAAAGCCTAATGGGAGATGAGATCTCATGTCTGCAGGGATCCAACTGACCACTAGTTCGCTATTGTGGAAAGACATTTGTTTTCTGAATAGTTTAATCAGCATTTACTCCTTCAGGTATCTCCTTTGTACTGTGAAGATCAGCCTGAAGAAACTGAAGACTTTTAAACGTACTTTGAAAAAGGTTGCTGTAAAGCGAAAGGAAATAATCTGCTTGTCATGTCTACAGCAAAGAGGACAAGCAGTGATGGACTCAAATTTCTGTAAGGAAGACTTAAGTCAGACAGCAGGAAGGTGGATCCACTCTACGTTAGACTGACAAGAAGTTGTGCAGTCTTCAGCACTGGAGAAGAGGCAAGATGTGTCCCCCCTGACAAACTGGAGAACAACATATACCGATTTTACTTTTGGGGCAGGGAGACAGAATCTGAAATTACTTCCTTCTGATTCCATTGATCTTTGACCAGTCATCACTTCTTACCATGAAAAAGTTATTTTCTCACTGTTTCAGCAGCAGTGGATATTCTCCTGCAGATGAAAATCCATCATCTGACAGAGGTGGTGGTGAAGCATGTTTTAGGCAACTATCCTCTGCAGAGGAGACATACCAGTGTAGACAGATGCAGCCTGCATCTGGAAAAGGGTGCAAGAAAGATTTATACAGTTGTGACCACAGAAGTGCCCACTTGACCAGCTGGTGCTATGTGGTGGAGAAAGAAGGGATGAAAAGAGTTGGGTAGGGAGACAGAAGGAGTCAAGTCCCTCACTTTCCACCCGGTAAGTCTTCATTGAATATCAGCACATCAAAAGGCAAATATTTTTGCAGTATGCACAGTCAAACCTAACAGATAAAAGTGTCACAAATCTCATTAGAGAAAAGAAAGGATGGAACTCACTGTTGGGCTCCTCTGTTTAACTTCTTGCAGAGTTTTAGTGGGGGGACTCCGTGTTTCTTCCTGTAGTCATTGTGTGCTTTCAAGACTTCTTCAGCAAATTGTTTGGAAGCTGAAATCACATCAAAAAAATTGGAAAGGTCTGTCAGATACAGACATCAGTGAAGACAGAAAAAGCATACCCTGTAGCTAAGATGCGGTGCAGGCTGGACTGAAGAACAGAAGCACATAACCCTCATCACCTGGGATGAGGGTTGGACAAAAGGTAGGACAAAATGAACCATGAATGTCTTCCATCCAGGAACTAACTCTAAGAGACACTCCTAGTGGGATGGTACAGACTCACTAAAGGTTGAAAAATGTGAACCTTATTCCTTTCCTCAACAGTAATGTGATTTAAGGTTAGTTTAACTGACTTTCATGTTAAGATTTCAGCACACTGCATCACCATTTCAAGGACTCAGAGTAAGCAACAAATAGGTCCTTTGAGGAACTGCACTAAAAATTAAAATTATTCTCACTGTATGCAAGAATTTTCTGTATTAGTCAAGACATCACCTAAAGAAAATTAAGATACTAAAATTGTTAGAACTATGCAAGTACTGTGAAACACGCACCATTCTTTTTATTCATTATATAGTACAAATTCATAGAAATCTCAGAATGCACCTTTATTTGTCTCAACACAAATAACTGATCACAAACAGCAAGTGGTAAGGAAAGAAACGGCTGCTGGGGGTGATTTCTTTTTCCCCCGTGCTAGAGTGCATTCGGTAAATATCTGAATTCCAAAGTTACTGCAAAGCTTTAAAAGAGCCCATGTTTGTACCCTGATAAACTTGGGACTTTTAGCACAAAGCAGAAGACAAGCAAGTCCCGGTGCAATTCACTTTGACAGCAATTTCACGTTACCTCCTTTCACGACTTTATTGATTTTTCCCAAGATTCAGAGGAGAAAAAAAAATTCTCCGTCATTGGTCACCCTGTGAAATTTGCTGCTTTAAGAGAAATTTGGAACCAAAACCCTGTACTGGGACAGTCAGAGAGGTATGGATATCATCTTCAAAACAGACAGACAGTTTTTACTTTCACTGTGAACAGGCCAAGATATCTTTGAGTATTTAATCCACTTTTACCGTGACACAGGTTTCTCCATTTATTAATCAGCTTCATTTCTGAATATCCTAATTAGCACAACTACCATCATTTTCTTTGTAAGACACTTTCGAAGCCCAAAGAGACCTCAAGACTAGAAAGTGTTTCCTGTCATTAACCTTAGATTTCTCAACTTCCTCTCGCTACTTGATCCTAACAACTATAATCCATCGTTGTCTCCTTTATTAGCGTGTACACTATTCTGCTGTTTGTAATGATGCATTTTCTTCCAGTAGAGCTGTCAGTTTGCACATACTGCTCTCACAGCTTTTTCCTGAGGTGATTACTCAACACATGCTCATGCTTTAAGCTGTTCTCAGAGTTCTCTCCAGTTTCCCCAACAGCTTTAGGATAATACGGCAGCCTAAAATAATCTCAATATCCAATGCACATAGAAAGCCATTGCTGTTTCAGACAGTACCTTAACCCTTTTGAACACAGTCTGAAGTTGTGTTAACCTTTTCCAGGCCAAATATTCTCCATCAACATGCTTTCAGGCTAGATTTTTTCATATAAAATTGCTGGCATAAGACAGCAACAGGAATCCTGTTGAGTAAGATGAGATCTGCCCACCACCTTCCTCCTCTTAGGTTTTCCTCCAATTTTGTATCTCACAAATTGCACATCATCAAACAAAACGGGTACCTCCTTAAACACTGTGGTGTTTAAGCACCCACGCACCCTCTTGCTAACAAGCCTGTCCCATCATTCTTATTACCGTTGCTCACAGCTCACTGATTCTGTCAGGCCAGAGTCCTAAACCTCTCATCTGCTGCATCGTGCAGGATCATGGCCTATTTCTAAGGCATCTATCATAGGTTACTGAGGAAAGCAAGCCTGCAGCCCGTTCGCTTAATTACACTGACACAGGGGTCTATGCTTCCAGTAGGGAGGTAGGAAAATTTTCAGTAGGGAAATTTTAAGACAGCCTGCAGATCAAAGAAGTTGAAATACACAACTTCGGATGTTGCATCACATACTCCAGGCTGCATTTTTCTGCGTAAGACCATCTTAAATCTTGTGGCTGTTATCACCTAGACTTAATATCCACTCAGCATTAAACGGTAGATAAACCATCTGACCTGCAAGTGTGAAAGTTTCTATTAAAATTATTTGCTGTCAATAACAATAACAAAATCAAATTCTAAAAAAAAAAAATAAGTCAACTGAAATACAGGCTTGTCCATTGTCAGCCCATCCATTAACAGAAGTGTTGCATATTCCAGCTCTGTACTAACATTTTGACTTACAAAGACCAACAAGACATGGGCAAAACTGAGATTCTTCTAGACACAGCAGACACCACTCTACTGTCCCTAGAGAACCTCCGTCCTCCCCTTCCCTCAAAGGTGGATGCTATAGAAACACTTATCTACCATGACTCAAGCTCATGTGCTAGCCACCTCCCTCTCTGCACAGCTTCTCATGTGCATGCTGATGTGTGGAGAGGGACGCCCAACTGCCAAATGTTTTTCAGATTTGTTCTGGAAGACATGTTAAGTTTTTCCATTTTACCAATGTTCCATACACTGAGAAGCCAGACATTAAAAGTGAGAGTTAACGGGAGTTTTCAGGCTCCCACCCAAATGGGAACAGCTTCCCAAACAGCTTTGCAGACGTACTTTTTTCCCTTCATGTAGGCTGCTTAAGCTGCTAAAAAAAATCATTTCCTACTGCAAGGAAGTTACGTTTCGTCATGAATCATTACACAGCTTAATAAGTAAAACAACTAAAGGTATTAGATACAGTTGCTTGCTTCTCATTATTCAATTATTTACCTCTATTTTGGATTCTTCTGGAACATTGGCTAAGAAAATGACGGCATGTGACAACAAATTTCCAGGCTATGATGTGGTACACAGCACATCTTACAGTTGTGTTTTCAAACTTTCAGTTTCACTGAATCAACTTTGCGTGACCACAGAGAAGTAAGAAGAGGCACCTAGGTTGCCTTTTCCCATCAGATTTGTTTTTCTGAGTATTCTATTTCTCCATTCTCTTACTGTCTCTAAACAGTGCGAATCTACTGAGTCCTTCTCAGGTGAAGAGCTCTTCATGCCTGAATCCTTCCTGCCTCTTCTCTGAGCCCTTATTTCCCTTAGTGCGGACACCAAAACAGAAGCGAGTTATCTGAACATGTCTTCCACAATACTAGCTGCTCTGCATCACCTTTGCAGCTGTCAACGGGACCTGTTCCACTGGTCTTGCAGAGCTGCAGGATGATGCAGGGAA